CAGAGGGGATTTAATAGCAGCCTTTGCCCGGGATGGGGATGGGGATGGGGATGGGGATGGCGATGGCGATGGCAATGGCAATGGCAATGGCAATGATGATATTTTGTTTGTTCTGTTTAGTTTCAGGTAGGAAAGGGGTAAGACTGGCTCCTGGGCCTCGCTGATGAAGTAACAACCTGCTACAGGACTCCTACTCTGAACCATGAAGAAGGTAGCAATAATAACAATAAAGACTTGTATGAGCAGGAGTATAACTGCCCCAGGCAGGCTGTCAGTGCTACCCTGAGGCTGCCAGTATAAATTAATTGTATCTAACTCAGAAAGCTGGTTCAAGTACAGTAAATCTTCCACAGTAGTTACAGTGAAAAAAACTCAGCCTGATGAAACCTCGCAATTAAGGTTTCAGATGTCAGGACAGAGTGTAGTACTTTCCAATTACATATAATTACTAAAAAGTCCTTTATTCTGGTGCTGTTATGAAAACACAACTTTAAAAAAATAATTTTCATTATGTTATTTAGCATGCTTGACTAGGATCCATAGCATATCTCAATCTACAGTTCCATCAGATCTAAACAGGGTAAGGCAGTGTGTAGTACTTGAATGGGAAACTTCTTCAAAGGGGCTTCAGTGACTCAACAGGAAGTTGCATGCTTCCTTCTGAATCAATACTGAGTCTCTGCATTGGGTTAGGGGCACTGTTCTACTGGAGAAGCCATATTTTAAATGAGTTGTAAAGCTGATTTCTCCATTTCAATGTATTTTTTCTGACATTTTCTCCAGATAAGGTTGTTAGAGCTACTGTCTCAGCCATACTGAAACTTGACTACATCTGTGCTACCTTCTTTTTAATGGACTTCTTGAAGAACAAGCAAAGTGGATAGCAAACTTTATTTGAAATTGTGTTGGATTTTTCTCCTAGAGTTCTCCAAACTATTTATAAAGGGTGCTTGTACACATGAGGGGGGGGTTAGTCCTTAGAGTTGCATTTTGTGCCCCCTAAATTGAAGCAATGGGTTTTTAATTGAAACCCGCCATTTCAATTTAGGGATTGCCATCACTGTTACAGTGAGGGGCCCAACCCTTTTTTTTTGGCAGAGCTTACCCACTGCCAGGGGGCAAGCTGCCAACAGGTCAAGGAGCCTCTAAGCTGCAGGGGGTCTGGTCTTTCCCTCTGAGGTGGCAGCACCCCCTGGGGCTGCCCAGGTAGGCTGCTAACAGGCCAGGTGCTGCCCGAGTTCAGAGTCAGCATCCAGCCTGATCCAAGTCTTCCCCAACCCTGAACTGGGGCAGCACCTAACCCACTACCAGCCTACTCGGGTGGCCCCAGGGGGCACTGCTGCTGTGAAGGGAAGGACTGGGGCCCTTTGCAGCTCAGGGTCACTCAGCCTGCCAGCAGCTCACACTCCAGCCACAGGAGACATGGGTAGGCTCTGCCAGAAAAAAAAAAAAAGATTGGGCCCCTCGCCACTTCTGCCTTCAGCAGGCACCAGCTAAAGGCAGAAGCAGCCAGGAGCCCAGTCCTTTTTATCTGCAGAGTCTGGCTGCCCTTCCCTTGGCCGGGGGCTGAGCTAACTAATAGCTGCAACACGTCATTGCAAACTAAACTATATCAGGATGTAGTTTAGTTTGCAACAATGCAAACTTATTTTAAACCCCCAGAACTCCCGCATGTCTGCAGTGTGATGCCATTAAGCCACACAAGGTGACATTTTCATCATGTGTGCATAGTAATGGCGTCACGTGTACAAGCGTCCAAAATGTTTGAGTGAAATTGATATTACAACACATAAAGAACAAAAGAGTTTTAAATAGATTAAAAACTCTTCCCGTCTCAATTATTCAAATTTCAGTCTCAAACTGTTTCTGATCTCGTTTAAACTCCTGCTGACTCTCTAAGCATCCAGAGGGTCTGATAACTCAAACACATAAAGTGAGATTTTAATTTCAAATCCAAGATGTACTAAAATCTCCACAACCTTTAGGCTCTTTTGACATTGGAAAGAAGAACAACAGGGACACATGCCCAGTTTTCTTTGCCTCTGTAGATCAAATTCTGGTATCCCCCCATCGGTAAGCTAAAGAAACTTACCATGTAATCTATGGAAAACTTTTTTAAAGAGAGCCATAGCAGTTATCAAAGTTCACAAACACGCTACCAACACATGGTTTAAGATGTCCCATTTCCCAGGGCCAAGCCATCAAACTGAATAGGTTTAAGAGGTCAGTTATCTTCAATGTTTGCCAAGAAAACAAGTCCACGCAGACAGCGTGCAGAGGCTTTTCCAGAATGAGGATTTCATGCAAAACTTTTCACACGCTCTCCCAGATTTATACCATGACCCAGAGATCATAATATCACTGGAAAATGCTGCAGGGGTAATTCTGACTTAATCACTTTTAATAACTCTGCACAGCCATGCAAGGGTAAATCTAAGGTCATCACCAGATTGATCTTTGATGTTAAAATGGCAGGAGCTTTAATTCTCAGACTGGCCATGGGAATGAGATTGAGCTGAAACTGATCACTACATATAATGCGACTTCACGAATAAGTCTGTCAGTTTTAACTAGTCAAAGTAGTTTTAATTTTTCAAAGGAGCTAATCTTTGTACTTGTTTGTACCAGCACCGAGCAAGTGCTGAGTGGGTGTGAAATGCTGCTGTTCATAGCTGGTGCTGTCTGACTCCTATTTTGCACTCTCTTCACATGGATATTTATGACTGATGATGAAGAAAGTAGCATTGGTGTTTTAACTGCTAGGATTCTTGGACTGGTGAGGTGAAGTAAGATCTGATAAAGGACACTTGAAGCCCAAATGTGTGTTCCTTGCCTCTCCCAAATCCATGAGCTGGTCCAAAAAAAGATATTATCTCACCTCACTAATCTGGCAATGAAGCAGGCCTCAAATCTTTCACTTTAACTGTGACTGAAACTGAATTAAATTCTGTGACTTGTATTGCATGGGAGATAAGATTAGATGACCACTGTGTTCTCTTTAGGTCATAAGCCCCATGAAGCTGTCAATAAAAAAGTGACTGAATATGCATTAAAATCCACTCCTAGGGTATGCCATCTTTTACTTCCATTCTAGTCACTGGAATTTTCTGTTTTTGTGGTTCTGCACAAGGGAAAAAAGTGAAAGAATCTGGAGAAATGGTTGCTGAATTTTGGCACTGCTCTTTCCCGTTAATTGACCACCTGGCTTTTCAACCCCATTCAACCATCTATAGATTCTTGTGTGACTCTGACCTCTGACCTGGGACATCCATCAAGCCACTAACCACTGTGATTTTGCTGATTGAAATGAAAACCTCCAAATGGAAACTTTTTGCCAACCTAAAATTACCCCTGGGGTTTCTGATGGATTCTGCTCCAGCTCCTGCCTTGAACCATGGTTCAGCATTGAGCAGCTACTTACTTCAGAAGCAGTTGCTTTTGGGGCAGATGCAATAAGAGGATCACACACCCCTCTCTTGCAGTCTACCTCTTGTGTCTGTCCTGTTGTGTTCTCTCCACATCCCTTCAGTCCCTGCTGCTGTTCTCTGCACCCAGCCTCCCATTTGCATCTTGAGACCAGGGAAAGCTGTAACCACATCTTGCAGCTTTAGAGTTTGTACAGGCAGACGGCAAAAGTGGCTTTGCAAGGCTCCGCCAAATTAACTGCATAACTCATAAGAGACACTGCTGCTCTCCATGTGTCTCTCTCTCCCCACCCCCATGTCTCTGTGTGCTTCTCCCTATGTGTCTCTCTACACACATATTTCCAAGTCTCTCTTCATCAAGTGATCTTAACTTGTCAGAAACATCTATAAATCTTCCAATATCTGTGAGCATGAGTCCATCAGAGTCCTTCCACTACCCTCATTGAAAGAGGCTCTCTCCGTGTTACCATTAGAACTAGAATCTTTGCTTTAACATCACTCTATTTACAGCTTTTATGTAATTGAAGTTATATAGCTCCTTTCTGGGATGCAGTTCTTTTGACCCAGGGGTTGCCTAAATATCTAACTTGCACTGTGTTGAGCATACAGTTAGCACTTAAGAAATAAAGAATCATTCAGAACATCCCCAAAGTGCTTTCCAAACTTTCAGCTATATTGGAAGCCTCAGACAAAATTATTATACAGCAACTTTGAGGGAATAACAGAACAGGGTAACAGGAATGGGAATAACCCTGGCTTGAGCAGGGGGTTGGACCAGATGATCTTCTGAAGTCCCTTCTGCTTTTCTATGATTCTTTCTGCTTGCCAGCAATGCCATTCAGGCTAGACAGGCAAAGAGCAATAAGGTACCTAGTTGCTGTAGCTGGGGAAACGCTGGTAGGTAGAATGCCTACAATGGAACAGGGTTAGGACACTAGGGTGCACGTATCATAGGAAATCTAATAGGCATGGGTGACTAGGGCCTAGGTTTTGTACCATGTTCAATACACATCACTTCTAGCAGCACAGATCCTGCTAAATACCTGCTGGGACTTTGACTTGGTACTAGAAAGATCATGTTAGTTATTAGTAGTTTCATTGCACAGTGGTTACTACAAGGGTTTTCAGGGCAGGGTAATGGAGTGCTAGGACTCCTGGTCTCTGTAGTGATCCTTTCTGCTACTGACTAGCTGTATGATTGTGGACACCTCACATCAAATGTATAAAATACAAATAAATAGACAGTGAATCAGCCTGGGGCCTTTGGGTGCTCCAGTGATACTAAAAAACAAAGACAACTGATTGATAAATAAATTGGAATAGCAGACAGTCACATATGATCATGTCATGAGAAGTGTCACTCTGTTCATGAGAAACTCAGGAGAGAAGCCTGTGAGACTGAGCTAAGGACTGAAATTCTATCTTTTCTATTCAATCTTTTTGACTTCCAACAACCTGCATGACAGAGCCTTTGTGCTGACACCATGCAGAAGGAAAATGAGATCCTTTACATGATGATAACTGACCTAGACTGTGGCTTTCCGAATTTTTCTAAAACATTTGGCCCTCCCAAACTTTGCTGTAACTGTCCCAAGGGTGCGTTTGTTTTCTTTACCCCTATTCTGCCACATTTGCCTCTTCTGACTTTGACTAAATCACAAAATTTAAAGCCAAAGCCAACTAAGATGGCCATGTTTTCTTTGACTTCCTCCTAAAGGCCCAAATTATCCCAGGCTTCTTGCAATCAGAAACTGGCTTCTTGGCTTCTTTTTTAGAGCTTGACTCTCCCTATTCAGCTGTTTCTGAACCTGAAAATATTCTTAGTCAAGCTGCATGTCCAGGTTTGGCACTTAGAGGATGCCAGTCATCACAGCATGTATTGTCCATCCAATCCTGTACAGTATAAGCTATACTTAATGCCCACTGAAGCAAATGGAGTGACTCTCATTGACTTTAATGGTACTGGACTCAGGCCAATGCCCACTGAAGTTGTCAGGCATACTCTGTCAAATGAAATGGGCAGGGCTATGTTCACCAGAGGAAAGTCACTCCTGTGCCATGCCAGTCCTGTAGACCCCTTTTCCTGTGGGTTAATGAAAGCAGCAGTTTTTGCAGTGGCTAAGCAGAGCACCTGGGAGTCAGGATTTCTGGGTTCTCTTGGTAGTCTAACTATCCCCATTTAAGTGAATCTGATAGGTTACCAGATGCCCTGACATTTTACTTGGACAATATTTTCAAGTGAAGAGGAAAAAAAAAACTGCAGTTCCAGCTACTAATTTTGACCCTAATGGCACATGAATTGAGAAGTGAAGTCTGAAAACTTTCTTGGAACTACATGTGGGTGAATTCTGCTAGGATCCTGACTGTCCCAGTGGAAGCTCCCTCTTCTGGCAAAACTGAGGCTGTGTCTATGACAATCAGGTGCTGTAACTGCTGCAGACCTGAGCTGGCTGCAATCTAGCTCACTT